AAAATCAAGGCTGCTCCATGTCTTCAAACCCGTACGCAATGTCGGCCTTAATCTCCTTCACATGCTCCTCCACCAAGCTCAAGCTTTCTTCCAGATCCTTCTTGTCCTCCTTCGCAATCTCCAAAGCGCGATGCCGTGGCCTGCCACCCACGACGTATACGCCTGCAATATCAGTAATATCAACACCGTTCACGAGCTTTCGGTACTCCTCCACATCCCGATCCAGCATCTCTAACTCCGCTTTGAGGGATGCCACGGCACCAGCACGGTCCGTGGCCAATATGTCGGACTTTGCTTCGTGATGCAGGTGTGCAATCTTAGACCAGCGTGTTATGATCTTGTCGTAATGTGAGGGAAGAACTTCCCAAAAGGTGGTCGAAAAGAGTGTTAATCGAGGTGTTGAGTACGGAGTAGACATGACGGCAGAAATGATGGTTGTTTGTTGTTTCAGGTAGGCGCACGCGTTGCTTTGTAGAGATACGCATCGCTCTAGAGGAATGTGGTTCGGCGGCACAAAAGAAACTTCACACCGCGCTCGTGCTTGATAAGGGTTGAGAGGCTAAGGTATCGGTAAAGAAGGTACGTCTTTGTTCTTGTCATGTGTTGCAGATTATGTACCAAAGCCGCCGTACGGTCTGACTCGATGCTAGGCCTGTCACACTGTAGAGTCTGAGGTCACAGCTCCTGTGTGGCTATCAGCGCACTGAGCAACACGACATAGTCACGTCCCGCTATGGAAACAGCGCTGGTAATCCGTATCTGCTTCACAGCAGTCCACTGAGAAGATCAGAGGACAAAGAAACTGGACAAAATTGGAGAGAACAAGAACGAAGCGGTTAGACTACTTGCTAGGAACACTGAGAAGATCGACGAGTATCTGACTGCGCTGGCAAGTAAAGTAATTCTTTCAGCTTCCAAGATTCAGCAGGGAATATACAATAGTGTTTGTATCTAATACTAATTACCATATCACTTACCATCATCTTTGCAGCAAGTGAAGGAAGCAAGATACGTAACGATGGGGCAAAGTGAAATAGGCAATGTGACAGTTTTCGACATCACACAATGAACGCAAAAGATTAAGCATATCTTCATAGCCTCCTTCCACGCCTGGTATACTCGGCCTAATAAGTGAGATATCATATGCGACAACATCTGGAAACAACAGTGCGACACAAAACCCCAAGTCGTGAGCCATGCGGGGAGTCCGGTTCAGAATTTGAGGACCTTGTTGACACAATCAGCGAGATAAAAGGCAAGATTTTAAGCTGTCTTGAGGAACTCAACCTACTCTATAGCCAATTCATGCAAGCCACTCCAGGTACAATAGAAGAACAGATTGCAGGTGCACGCATATCGAAGATAGCCGCAAATATGCAAAGGCAGATTCAGCAGATCGATACGCACTACGGTTGGGTGCTAGCATCAGACCATGCACTCGTGGACGAAGTTCTTCGTTCACGCTTTGGGAGGACAGTCGATGGCAGGAGATGGTTGAAGAATGCTATTGAGAACCTCGAAGCCGCACATCTTCTTTTAGGGGATATCGCGCGACGAGCTCTCTAACAAGATACGAAGATACTTGGTACGTACCAAAGCGGAAGTATGCTACCTTTCTCGGTAATGTCATCATAGTCTACACATGGTGCGTTGACGGCACTGAAAGTGTAAACAATGTCCTAATAGCAGATGTATGTTCCTTGTCGTGCGCACTGGTGGATCTGATCGCGCAACTCTCTATGCAGATCGAGGACCTTGTTGTAAAACTATCTCGTTACTATAATCGAGAGCATGGGCTGATCGACGCAAGTGTGTATCGCTCTGTGACGGTACTAGTCTTTGATATCGCGAGACTCTCAATATGCTGGCTATATTCTATCCACCCCCCATCTCTGCCTTGTGGTCATGTCTGGATAATTGTGCCACCCATCGTTCATGGCGAGCTGATATTCAAACCAAATTTGACTTTCCTCTGGTTCTTTCTGACGTGCACACAACGGGTCATCCCGTAGCTGCTCTAAGAATTCTTGTGTGGCAATATGGCGCTGGTCGCTTCCTTCTTCGCCCCATGCTTTTCGCAACGTGTCCAAAAATTCGTCATGTCGGTCCAGTATGAATTTCAGACGTATCTCATGGTCTGCGAATGCAGCGTAGAGCGTCTCGCATGGAGGGGAGGGCATACCAAGAACATGCATGCTATCGTCGCTGGAAACGTAGTGTAATGCCCATTGGCCTGGTTCCTCGAATTTTCGGCCACAATTGGAAAAGGGACAGATGCATGCAGCCTGGAGAGTGTGTAGATAATATGCTTCGATAGCCTGTATCAGGAGAAGCTTACGAGCGTTCTGTATGTAGTTGTAGAGGTCTCCATCATGAAGCCAACGCTCATATGCACCTACTGGCCCAGAACGCTTTTGTATTGGAGGCAAAACCAGTTGTGGTGACCATGATGCCTTGGTCAGCTCTAGTGGAAATCGACTACTATCTGCGTGGGTTTGCTGGAATAGCTGCCTCGATACGGGCCGAAATGTAAGCGGCGTATCAGGACAGAAGCGCGATAGGCGTGCAGAAATACCATCTGGACATCTTCCGACCATCTGTATCAGCTCTTCAAACACTATTGCATCAGATTCATCGATACCCTCAGCGCCCAGCACAACATCTTTAGCGCAGGGAAAACGTCGACGAAGTGTCTTCCAGAACTCAGTGATTTGATGGTCTTCATAGCTGCTCGCTAGTCCTTCAATGTCGTCTCGGAAGTTGATGTGCTGCTGCTCGCCGTCAAGCCATTCACTGCCGAGATTCGACGATGTATGAGAGAATTCAACATACAAGTACCGCATACACTTGCAAGCCTCGAGATCTGCATATGTGATGCCGGGATATCCGCCCGAAAGGAGCCAAGGGCCATCGATGACAAAACGTACCGCGGGATTAGACCAGAAGAGCTTCGCAGCCTCTTTGCGTGTTGAAGGGGATGATCGCATGACCTGCCAGAGTGCTTTGCGGCCACAAAAGGACAATATATAATTCTGAAGCTCTATAGGCAAGCGCAGAAATATTGTGAAGCTGTGGAGTGAGGGTTTTGCTCGTTCTCGTCCCTGGCGGACGTAGTGTTGAAATAGTGTACATATCTCGCCTGAAGCCGTTGCGCATAGATCCCAATTTAAGGAGGTCAACCACGGTCCCTTAGGAGTGATCAGAGGGGTGTGGTTTCGAAAACGCATACTGGATGGGCGTGCTTTTCTCCGGTACGCGACGTGTGATAGCAAACGTAAAGACAAGACAGGCAACAGTTTGTGCTGTATCCAATATGCAACGTCGTTTCGGCGCTAAGCTGCCCGTAAGCGGTCTAGCGTCCATACCCCTCGTCCACTCAAGTTGGATAGCTAAAGTAAGGTCCATATGATATGTTGGTATCAAGCTGCGTGCAGTTGTTACCTAGGTATTGTATCCTCGATGCAAACTTGGAGATGGCGAACTGACCCAATGCATGCAAAGAAAGTGGAATGATCAGCCAGCGAGGATGTACTGGTAGCAGGTTAATCATGTTTCCCGTCGGGTGGTTCTAAAGCTTTCAGCCACAGTGGGTTTCGGCATTTCATGAGGCTCGAGCAAACTGATAGCCTGCGCATATGCTCGATATTTACTAGGACTAATCGCGCTATTGGATAAAACAGTGTCCATAGCAGCCAATGACGATGAACGCGTCGTAATTGCGCGTTTACCAAGAATGCGCAATGGAAAGGGGGGTGAGGATATATTAGAAGGTGGCTGGGTGAAAGAATTAGATTTGGAGGACTTGGATGCTTGATACATACCAACGCGTAATAGGCGCGTCTCTAGCCTACCTAGGTAATGTGACGTCATTAACGAACCCCCTAGGCAATACCATTAGGACCTCTTCATTACTCTCCAATCATCCAAGCTCGTCAATTTGACATTTCCATTTGAGTACCGTCATAGTCGTCTCAATTCCCTCTTACTCATCCCTCTTACTCTTGGAGAGCATCGATAACTTCCTTGGCCGCGCGCTGCCCTGAAGTTATAGCACCCTCAAGATATCCCTCCCACTCATAAGCTAACTCTGTTCTAGCTAGTAAAGTCCGTTCATCGAAGAAGCTCTAGGTCATACTGTTGGGCTTTATAATTTCCTTTCGCTCACCAACAATGTCACGCCTTATGGCGCTATAAAAGACCGCTAACTGCCAGGGGAAGATATCATCATCTCAACAGCAGCTGCAGAATTACCTTCCACTTCTGCATCGTTTTTGTTCGGCTGTGATGGAATATACAGCCTTGTTACCGAAGTGAGCCTACTTGCATCGCAACGGCTAGACCCAGAGCTTTCCGGCATGACATGTCCGTCTCCTAAGATCAGGAAGATATACGATAAATTGCTCGGCCGAATCAAATCTTGGCAAATGCAATCCTCTCGAGTTGAATTGGAGTCGGATATGGAGATGCTAGAGCACACACGTCTGGCCGGTGAGGCATTCCGGGAAGGACTATACATCGACCTCGCGACTGCTATAGCAGGTACGACGGTCGCGGACACTGCTGTGATACTCGCGATACAGGACTATGTCGGTACGCTATTTAGCTACTGTTCACAGCTACTGGGTTCACTATGCATCGCAACTATTCTGTGGCCTTTTATCATTGCTGGTACTTGTATAGTAAAATAGGACCAGCAAGAAACGTTTCTCGATGTCCTTCGATCCAGTCAATTTAGCATGAGACATTTGTTTGTCCTCGGCGACACGATGCGGCTTCTCTGGGCTGATGCAGACCCATGCATGTACGGGCCACATGGACCACATCTAGTCATAGAGAAGTACAAGCTTAATCCAGGATTTGCTTAGTGCCAAAGGATTTGTGCAGAACTGTTGTGATAACTTGACTTTGGTATATTCATTAAATCGCCACTTATAAGACTCAATCAACATGTCCGCAACGGTCACCCATGTTGCACTAATGCAACACTTTGGATTATCCGTTCATGCCGACCACCTCGCATATAATAATGCAGTTCCACATTCAGTTTTGATCTCACCAGTGCTTGAGAACCCTTCGTCCTTCACACCTATAAACCACGTAAGCGAGACTCTGTAGATTTGACATGTCAGACCTACATTCAGAATCCAGAAATGTCGTGAACACGGTCTTGCAATCGAATGAGCAGTCAGGAAGTCCACCTGGATACCTTCCCCATCTGATCGAACCAACGAATCCAGGAGTGTCGTAGTAATTATACACCCATCCCTCACTGAGCTGGTTGCTGTGCTCCGCACACGCCTTCTCGATCCATCTGTACGAAGACTAGCTTAGTAAAAGGGGACAATGGATAGATTGGGGGCTCTCGTACCCTTCCAAAGCCGCCTTAGGGTTTTTGAACCGTTGGACGTCGTCTTTGCAGTCTGGCTCTGGTATTGGAGTATCGGCTAACTTCATAAGTTCTTCCAGCCATTCATACTGCGCATCCATATATCCTTGTGGCACATCGTAGACGTACGGATAGTTAACGATTCCGCATCTACATCCGAGGTTCTTGGGCTAGATACGATCATGTCAGACCTTGAGTTCTGTATTTATGGAACGTATCATTGACTTACTGTGAGGCATGTCGGCGTCAGAGGTACTTTTGCGCTCACTACCCCTGTTATTGGGTGAGTCAACTCTTTCTGCCCTTGACAATTATTCAGTGTGCAAATGAGATCCTTGGCACATGCTAAGTCCTCCTCTTTGAGGTCGTTGATTATATCGTTCTTACTAACGATTAGTTCAGCTAATGTTTGACCAGCAAACATGGCTGCATGTGCAGCTATGGTAAGACCGAGTGCACTCTTGGTAAGAACAGATGGATCCCAGTTTTGATCCGCCTGAGGGACTGGTGCAGTAGCACTGAAAACTTGACGATAGAGTTGAATGAAAGCCACAGATTCGCCTATGGAGAAACTGGGGATTGGGAAACCGATGAATTGACCTGCGACGGGTTCAACCGGATTGTTTGCCTGCGCCAAGGCCATAAGGTTTTCCGGACCTGTGTCAGCAAGATCCGCGGCATGGCGTAAGATGTTCCGTACACACTCCTCAGTGGGGTCAGCGCGCTTCAAGTTTTGTCCTTGACAGATCTGCTGTGTTTCCTGGAGACCTGTCATGCCCAAGAAGTCCTGGATGCGCTCAGCCATTCTTTCAGGAATATGATAGACAATGTCTCCTGGTTCGTGACCGTCACTCGCTGCAGTAAGTGTTTCGATGCTGATAACGCTACTGCAAAAGAAATCAGCATCAAACAAGTTCTAACTAAACATATTTCACTTACGTCGCTGTACTTGTCGCAGGTGGTTGGTATGTCAAAGTAGTTGGTACAGCGGTCGCGTCTGAGGCGGTCACGATGGCAATCTCTTGAGCGCCTGCCATCGCGTGGATCTGGCGGAGGTCTTCTGGGCGGAATTTCATCTCCTTCCCTAGTCCATGGTTGTATATGTAAACTGCCTCGGTGATGATAACTGCCAGGGCAACCCCGAAAGCCCAAGCGGCAAGTGGAATGAAACGCTTGACATGAGTAGATACCTCGGTCTTCTGCAGTACATCATTGAGTGCCTTGCGACAACCCTCCGATTGTCCGTCGTTGCAACTCTGCGCTCGTACATCCTCAACTTTTTGGCGTATCTCAGGGCCGAAGGCGATAGTGATCCCATCAGGTGGTATCGTATCATGAACCCCGGTAGGATACACCTGTATCTCTGTGCCTGAAGGCTCAGAGTTCGTAGCCCACGGATGGATGTTAGCGCTGTGAGTATAACGGATACGTTGATTCGTACCGCGGCTGGGAAGTACACACTCTCAGGGCCGAATGTGAACGTTGGAATTGCTGCGCTTTCGTCTCGACGCGAGGGTGCCTTTGTTGCAAGCGGAGATGCTTCAATCGGTGTTCTTAAAACCCGAGCCGCAGCTGTCTTAAGGTAAAGTGCTAATGCTATAAAGCTAGGAGAAAGCATGTCGATTAAGAGTAGGTCGATAGTGAATCATCCAGGGCGGATCTCGAGCTTATTTATGGATAGGTCATGGCCTTAGACCTCGGCAATACAACTCCTCCGTTGAGACACCATATCGTCTTTCTGTCACCCAGATTGCAGCGTGACGCCCGGAGAGGCACAGTTCTTTGTACGCAAACGGGGCGGGAAGGTGTTGCATTTAGTGGTCGATGGAAACCATTGCGGCGATGATGGAGGCAATCTGGCTCATCAATGTGAACATGAAACGTGGCACGGTATTCAAAATGATTTCATCCTTTCGGTACGTGGCGTAGTGCAGATTGGAAGCGGTTGGGGCGATGAAACTTACCCATTTCGCTGCGATGCTGGGAGCTCTTGGGGCCGGGGCCGAATGTTCCATGTTGCATGCGTAGCAGAGGAGATTGTGCTACCCTTGTCCGAGGAATTGGCGAACTAAGCCTCGCGAAGAATGGCTATGGTTAGCAGATTATTCGATTTTCACCTGAACTACAAGGCATGAACACATGAAGCCATGCCGATATATTCCTCGGCATATTGGATGGTTGGCAAGAGAACAGTTTCCCGTTGGGGCGAAATAATAGCGGCGCTGTTGCGTCGGTGACGATGCTTACAAGAGCTTTGCGCATATATAAAAGGCTTGCGCGAAGACTTGATTACAAGTGACTATGCACCCGCGAAACCACTATCAAAATGTGGTCGCTACTCTTGATATCATTATTGCTCAAAGCCTTTATACCAGTCTATGTTTCCGGATATAAGATTGACCAATCTTGTGAAGACAAAGGCATCGCGCAGGATATCCGGGATGCCATGACGTCCGCTTTCGAGAAAGCTTACGATGCATATGAAATTTTGGTTTCCCCTCCCTTACACGCCGAGGCGCTCGAACTCCTAGGGTTCCTGTTCGCGAAAGACGGCGTGGACCCCGCCAAACTTGTGGAAGAGGGCAAAATGGCAAAGACCATCAGCGTATTGGAGAGTATAAACACCAACATGCGGAACGAAGTAACTGGCCACGCCAGTGTACTTCCAGAGGACGTGGTATGGTCGAAGACAAACGCTTCCAGCCTCTCAGGAAGGAGCTAATCTCTGCCTTAGGTCGTTTTTTGCCATTTCAATCGGTGGAAGCCTGTTGAAGGAGAGGAAGGCCTCTGGCGAGATACTAGTATGTGGCACGTAACTGTTCCCCGAACAAAGACTGATTACGCATAGCAAATGGTATCAAGTTGAAATTCAAGGAGCAACAATGTAGAGGAGGCACTAATCTTGACAAAGTCGCTCTGGCTGTGACTTTCAACCCGGAGACAGAAGATGAGGACATTACCTGGAGGAATGGCGTACCGATGGAAAGCAGACAACCTACCCAGATTCAGCTATGCACGTGGTTCGTTGACTGGATCAAGCAGAAGAAGTTCAAGCTTTCTGACGACGCTCAAAGGAGGACGAATATTGGTAGGGCGATGATCAATATGGCTGAGTGGAATATGTTCGGTCTTACACAGATTGGTAGGTGGTGGAACGGCTCGACTTCGCGCCGAGGCTAATCAGTTGCAAGCAGATGCCTTCAACCTTTTGGATAAGGTCCTCTTACATGAGATGACACACGGGCGTGGTGCTTATATTAGATATAATGATGGTATGGTAGAGGCAGAGGGCCTCGCAGATGTTTCGTCTACTACCCGACTTCTTGGACTCTTTACGTCGCCTGCATATGGATGGAAGGCAGCATTGCGACTCGCCCGTGAAGGAGATGACCTTGGGGGAGAAGCCGCACCAGACAACAACGCCGACACCATAGCTCTCTTTGCGAGCGGTATGTGATGTGGCTCCTATCTCATGGGTAAAAGCTGACTGCTCTATAGGCTCTTGGTTGCTCAAGAACAAAGCCAAGATCGATAGCAAAGGCCGAATAGTAAAGAGGACAGGAGTGGCTTGAAATTGATCATGATGTAAATCTTGCCGGTGGCGCGTTGACAGAAGTCCTTGTTTCACAAAGGAAAAGTTCTCCTGTCATATAGTTTCTGAAGTGGCGATATCTCGAATGGAACGTCTCCAAGTGCATCCAAGACCTGTGCAGGTAGGGCGATGTTGAGTTGGACCTCATAGACTTGCGCACGCACTTGCTTCAAGGCCTCGAAGATGAAGATCAGTGACTCATCTTCTGGCGTACCAGCATTGACATCATGATACTGGGACTGGTCCCATGTAGTCATCTCGATCCGAAGCAAGCGCAGTTGATCGAGACTCGCTAGAGCGCAACAAGCGTCTTTCCAATCAAGATAACTTTCTCTCGGAAAGCTGCCTCGGGGTGTCATGAAACGTCTCATCGGTGTCAAAATAGTCGTTGATACGTTTACGTAGCGCAGCATGTGCCAACTGTCTGGGGCTATGAGCGTACGAAAGCTCATCACTCCTGTAGCACCTCTAAAGCTGAACTGATTCGCCTTGTACAAGATTTCCACAGCTTCACAGTACCTGCCCCTTTAATTAGCTGGGATGAGAGACCTGCGATGGAAGCTTACATTAAACGACATGTGATGAGCATAGATATAAGGTCACCATTGGTGGTTGATGCGGGGCGGTACCAGCGCGTGCTCCCCTCATTCCAAACCCCAAAACAGACATGCTGCCAGGTGAGATATGGACTGGCTGCATCCTCACAACGCCAGTGCCCTAGCTTGGCAGGTCGTCCTTTGGTGGGGGTAACATGCAAGAAGTGCAACAAACACTGCGGCTCAGCGAGCACCTTTTCGTAGATCAAGAGTCGTATTTCAGCCGACAACTTTCCGAATAACACACACTGCTTTTGATCAAGAGGTGAGCTTCTCGGCAGTACAGGTCTCGGCATTGGTTCGCTGTCTTGGTTCGGTGCGATCATAGTGGTCGGCTCGGTCTTTTTGCGTCGCAGGTTTCGGAGGAAGAAGGCGCGCATGTTTGCTTGCTTGCTTGCTTGCGTAACGAGAGTGAAGAAGATCTCAAAACACGTCAGGGTATTCGCAGAGAGCACTGAGCTGATTTCGAGAGTATCTCGGGATTGTGGTAATCTCAGCGGCCTACTTTGACACGTTGAGCCTTTTACTTTGGGTCCGGGATTAGATTGCGGCACAGCGATGCAGAAGGCGGAGACTGACGGCCGGCGCTTCTGATCGCTCTTGCAACGAGCGACATGGCGTAAAAATAGATGACCACGGTGGCGCAGAGGAGGGGAGCATACGTATAGGCTGGTGCAGACGACTCCCGTAAGGTCTGGGGTTGGAGGGGTCGAGAACTAGAAGACGCGTTCTGCCGATTGCGGACTAGCCTTCCGGCCCCATGTCGCGTCGCGTCTTGGGAGAGTTCTCAGCCCTCTCTGCTGACTTAGGCACACGTCATCAGCGTCACTCATCTCATGCTCTGCCATTATCCTCGAATCTGAACCATTGCATCATCTGCTTTCTCAGATCGACCAAGGCTAGAGCTCTGGCTCCAAGTCGTTCAGATGTAGGACGCGACACATCCCACCTGCCTCCAACCTCATATCACGCGACGCCATAGCTACCCTCTTGAACATGGATCGTTTGTTTCTCAACCATCCCTTTCCACCCTGAATCTTACCGATAACCTGTAGACGTGAATTGTACAATAAGAGCACCATCCGGGCGCTCAACGTATCATGTAACTAACGACAAGATTGGCGCGCCTAACACTCTCAGGTGTTCCAGAGGTTGTCTTACTAGACAGGATATGACTTTCCCGTACAAAAAAGCTCGTTGAGGCCAGGCGGGACACTGGGATCTGGTAAAGTGACAGGAGACATGAGTATCTCTAACGTCGAACATCCCCAATCTTCCCCACGACTGACTCAGAACACATCCGTCACAACCGAATTTGACCCACTTCCCAACACTTGGTATTCGCCTCCGACAATTGCTGTTTAGAGTCAAGGCGGAAATGTGGTTTCATGGTCAAGCCAAGCGCGGAGCGGAAACGCCAAGTTGCCGCCCATCACAGGTATAGCCTCATACTCCGACGGATAAGAGAAGAAACTCGTAGCGAGCAGGCATCTTCAAGGCTGAGAGTCGAGATGTCACTGACTCGCTCGCATGTGCGAGCTTCTGTTCCCTCAACCCAGATAACGGGCCCGCATCCGCGCAGTTGCTTGGCTGGCCGCCACATGTATCCCCAAGACTTCAGACTATGAGATGCGAAACATGTGTTGGAGCGGCATGATAAGGCGACTGCAGACTCGTTTAAAGATGCAAAGGAAGCCATGCAAAGCCTGCAATAGGCAAGCGGTCTTCGTAACATTACCCAACTAAGACAAATCACAATCATGGCAGGCGACACTTCTCCGCCAACCACAGAAGGCTTTTTGCAGTATCATGAGCCGAACAGTGAGCTTTTCAAGATTCTAAGTGGTACAACATATACTGACAAGTACTAGTTATCCAAATTCTCGTACTCGTGTCGTTTTTCTTTTGGCTTTCCTTCGGCGAATGGCTTTCCAACCGTGTATTCCGCGCCGGTCTCATAGGGCAGATCATAGTCGGTCTAATCTACGGACTTCCCATCGGTGGTGAGATCATACCAATCGCGTGGCAGGAGGCCTTCATTGCTCTCGGATATATTGGTCTTGTTCTCATTATCTTTGAGGGCGCCCTGGCTGTGCGGCTGGACCTGCTCAAAGCCAACTTTGGACTGTCTGCTATCGCTGCGACGATAGGAGTCATTGCTCCGATCGGACTTACATATGCTTTGTTGTATGTCGGTTTCGGCTACGGCGCAATCGAGACTTTTATCGTGGGTGCTGCGCTCTCAGTCACTTCTCTTGGAACAACATTCGTGGTGCTGGGGAAAAGCTCCAAGGAGATCAGCTTTGCGGATACCCGAGTTGGCACTGTTCTAGTCAGTGCGGCTGTATTCGATGATGTCTCTGGACTGGTCATGGCCAGGCAAGATACCCAATACTTGACAATGCTACTAGACCATTAACACCTATCAGTGTAATCGGTCAACTAGGAGCCCTAGGAGGTGAGAATTCTCCCAATCTAGGCTGGCTCATCGGACGCCCTACACTAGTATCCGGTCTTCTGGCCATACTCACCCCAGTCCTCAACAAATGGGTGATAGCACCTCTATACCGAAAATTCGTCGAGCCGCGTCTTCCAAAAACACGCAAGCGTCATGTCGTTAACGTCATCGTCATGATCTTTGTTCTGTGTGCTTTTGTTAGCATTACTGGCTTTGGCGGGACCTCAGTCCTTTACGGGTCCTTCATGGCTGGAGCATTGCTCACATACCTCCCATCCAAGCACCCAACTGGCCCTTTCCATCCACCTTCCCGCGAAGAGGCAGAAGAGGCAGAAGCTCGCTCTATCGCCGAGGCCACCGAATACGACGATGCAGGCGAACCCGCAATCTGCCCTACATTCATGCACACATTTGAGAAGTACTTCCTCGATGTGGTGAAATACCTCTTGCAACCTCTCTTCTTCGCCTCCATCGGGTTCGCCATCCCGTTCCTCGATCTCTGGACTGCGGAGGCATTCTGGAAAGGCTTTGTCTACACACTGCTCATGTTGATCTCCAAAGTTGTCGTCGGCCTCGTGATACCTTTCGCTACTATCCTGCGCAGACCACCTGGTATGTCAATCCGAGAATGTTTCACGTCCACCTTCTGGCCAGCCATGCTCCTTGGTTCTGCAATGGTAGCGCGCGGCGAAATCGGCCTCCTTGTTGTGCAGATCGGCCTCAATAACATGCCCTACTTGTCGAAGGAAGCCTTCATCACCGCCGTATGGGCCATTGTGCTCAACACGATCTTTGGACCTGTCACCGTAGGCTTGATCATCAAGTACAAAGCAAGGGCGATTGCGGATGGTGTATGGGGCCTAGAGAAGGCGGAGCAAGGCGGGGATGGATGGGATGACGGAATCTCTAGGGCGAACACTATTATTCCCGATACGATGAGTGTAAAGGAAAGGAGTAAGAGCGTTGCGGTGTCGCAACATAGTAGGATGGTGTCTGATCCAGTGACGATAGCCATCTCGCCTTGATAATTGTTTCTTGACTTTGATAATGGATTTTATGAAACTCTATTCGTGTAAACTTGCTCCAGCTATCGAGATCGAGATTGAGAGCCATGACAAGCGAGATCTGTCAAACGTCCTGTTGTCAGGTTGGAGTCAGTACACATGAATAAGGTGTCGTCTTTACGAGAAAGGAAGGCTGTATTTGATTGAGAGGGGTATGCGCAGCTATATATCCAAAAATTTCCAAACATGCAAACATGGCCTTGCAGATCAACAAAAAGAACGAGCGAAGCTTGTGAGCAGCGTGCTCAAGCCAGAAAAATCGTGTCGCCATCACCTTGAGATGCATTCTAGCTTCAGATGTACCTGCAGAGATAAATTATCGGCATGGCTAAGCTAGCTGGACCAGAACCAGCCGCTGCCCTTCTTCTTTTCTCCATTCTTTGACTCGGCCTGTACCGATTGCGTATCTTGGAACGCCTTCCAAGGATCGCGCGGCGGTTGATCATCTCCTTGGCCGCGCTGGGTGTGTACAGTCTCCGAGCTTTCTTCTCGTCCATCGGCGAACCGCTTCTTTAGTACCACTTTGGTTGTTATGGAGCCATCAGACGCGACAGTTCGCTCGGTCGTCGTAAGCGTGGAGAGAATTGAAGGCTTCGCCTCGTTCATCTGCTCAGCGATCGCAGATGCTACCGAGGTGGGCCCGGGTGCTGAGGCTGGGCCTCGCGACACAGCGTCCATACGCTCGTACACATCCATCTCAGTCTCTGCTTCCTCATCTCTTTCATGTGCTGCGTCCAAAACAGTATTGTATGTGTCACGCCTGACAGTGTCGGCGTAGGGGAACCGGTCCTGCTTCGGCGTGGGAGGATCATCGTGCTGGTCTTCATGATCGTGGCTGTATTCGTAGCTCGGCTCGTCGCTC